CTGCCTCTGCCACATTTCTAGTGGTTGTAGCTCCCGTGGCTTATCTCTTGGGCCTTCTCTCCTCCCTCCTTGCAGTTTTCCTCAGAGGATCCACATTTCTGACTTCTCTAAACTTCTGGGATCTCCACTGTACCTTTGGCTTCACCCTCACAGCTTCACACACTGCCCTCGCAGGGGCACACTGCCTGACCTCCCAGACCTTCTGAAATCAGGGTAGAAGCCTTCTTAAGCCCACAACTCTTGCATTCTGCATGTGCCTAAAACAAGCACCAGATGGATACTGCCAAGGTCTGCTGCCAAGTGGAACAATAGCCAGGCTTCCCTCTCTCTTGACTATAGGAGTGGAGTGCTTGAATTGCTGAGCACTCTAAATACAATTCTGAGAAACAAATTCTCTATGCTGCTGCCATTCTGGAACATGGTGCTCTGCGGCTTTCTTCTCATAGCAAAGGCATTCACTTTTGCAGTTTTGAGGCTGCAGAAGGTAGATACTTGCTGCTTCTTGTGATGCCCTCAGGCCATCCTTTGTATTCTCCTGTTCCTTCTCAGCAACAGAGATCTCCTCTGCTCAGTCTTTGTAGTTCACAGCTTTACTGGAGCTTCTATTCTGGCCAAACTCACATTTTAAGTCGTTCTGCTGGGCTCTTTACTCTTGATTCACAATATAAATCTGGCTAAAAACCTTCAACAGTAGCCATGCCATTGCCTCAAAATTTGACTGCCTTGAGATTTCTTCTTCCAGATTAAATAGTCTGCCACCCTTAATCCCAGTCTCAGGCCAAGTCTGTGGACATGAGGAAAATGTAGACAAACTTTCTGCCAAGCCATAACACACATCAGCTGCAGTCCAATAGCCAGTGCAGTCCTTCTCAGCAGAAACTTTTCAAGCCTGGTCTCTGCCAGCAGGATTTCTATCAGCCTTTTGGTCTTCTGAACTATGACCAGAATCTCCCATACAGAACAGCCTAGGGCGTTCCAGCACTACACTTTCAGATAACATCTCCAAACCTTTCCAAACTCTTCCCACAAGCCATTCACAAAGGCTCTTGAACCACATGGTTACATATAGTCACAGCAACTGCCCCACTTCTCTGGTACCAAGTTCTGGCTTAGTTACTTTTCTCTCATTGCTGGAACCAAATACCCAACAACTAAAATTGAAGGAGGAAAAGTTTATTTAGCACACAGTTTGTAGAGGTTTCAATTCATAATCCTCTGGCTCCAAAGCAGAATGGCACATGGCAGAGGGTCAACAGTTCATGGCAGTGGAAGATAGCAAAAGCAACAAGAGCAAAATGGGGGGAAGAGAAAACCTCTTTTTCTCTGTTATATTGTGTGCAGGCTA